TCCCAGTAACCCCAGTATCCGCAGGTGCACCTGGTGGGCATCGACATCTTCACGGGTAAGAAGTACGAGGACATCTGTCCGTCCACCCACAACATGGACGTGCCCAACATCAAACGCAACGACTTCCAGGTGAGTCGGGGACACCTGGGGACACCTGGGGACATTGGGGACATTGGGGACACACCTGGGGACACACCTGGGGACACATCTGGGGACAGGTGAGGACATTGGGGAGACACCTGGGGACAGGTGAGGGACACATTGGGACAGGTGACACAGCTAGGATACACCTGGGACACACTTGGGGACAGGGACACACCTGGGGACACACCTGGGGACAGGTGAGAGACACACCTGGGACACACCTGGGACAGGGACACACCTGGGGAGAGGTGACACAGCTAGGACACACCTGGGACACACTTGGGCCACACCTGGGGACAGGGAGGGACACTGGGGACACACCTGGGGACATTGGGGACACACCTGGGGACATTGGGGACACCTGGGACACACCTGGGGACACACCTGGGACAGGGACACACCTGGGGAGAGGTGACACAGCTAGGACACACCTGGGACACGCCTGGAGACAGTGGACACACCTGGGGACAGGTGAGGGACAGTGAGGGACACCCGGAGACACACCTGGGCACATTTTTCTGTCCCTACCTGTCCATACCCGTCCATACCTGTCCGTACCTGTTCATTTCACCAGTGTTTACCAGTGTCCATACCTGTCTGTGCTGTTACCTGTTCATATCTGTTTTCCTTTGTCTGTACTTTTCTGTACCTGTCTGTACGTGTCCCCATGTGTCCCCACGTGTCTGACCCCATCCTGTCCTCACCTGTCTGTGTCACCTGTCCGTACCTGTGCCCACCTGTGCACCTGGTGGGGATCCAGGACAGGTAGCTGTGGGTGTTACGTGTCCGTACCTGTCTCACCTGTCTGTACTTGTCTTACCTGTCTGTACCTGTGTTCACCTGTCTTTATGTGGTCTCACCTGTGCATACCTGTCCATACTTGTCCATACCTGTCTCACCTGTCTGTACCTGTACCTGTCTCTCTCACCTGTAGCTGATCGGGATCCAGGACGGGTACCTGTGATGTTTATGGGTTACCTGTTCACACCTGTCTCACCTGTTACCTGTCTCACCTGTATCTCTCTCACCTGTAGCTCATTGGGATCCAGGACACCTGTGTGTGTTACCTGTTCACACCTGTTCTCACCTGTCCATACCTGTCTCACCTGTTTCACTATAGCTCATCGGGATCCAGGACGGGTACCTGTGTGTGTTACCTGTACCTGTACCTGTCCATACCTGCTCACACCTGTTACCTGTTTCTCTCACCTGTCCATAGCTCATCGGGATCCAGGACGGGTACCTGTGATGTTTACAGGTTACCTGTCTCACTTGTACCTGTTTATTTTACCTGTTTACAGCTGATCGGGATCCAGGACGGGTACCTGTGTGTGTTACCTGTTCACACCTGTACCTGTTCACACCTGTCTCTGCAGCTGATTGGGATCCAGGACGGGTACCTGTGTGTGTTTATGGGTTATTTCATGTTCTCACCTGTACCTGTTTATTTTATCTGTAGCTGATCGGGATCCAGGACGGGTACCTGTGTGTGTTTATGAGTTACCTGTGTGTCTCACCTGTACCTTTACCTGTTTATCTCACCTATTTACAGCTGATTGGGATCCAGGACGGGTACCTGTGATGTTTACAGGTTACCTGTTCACACCTGTCTCTGCAGCTGATCGGGATCCAGGACGGGTACCTGTCTGTGTTTATGGGTTATTTGAGGGTCTCACCTGTCCATACCTGTGTTTACCTGTTCACAGCTGATCGGGATCCAGGACGGGTACCTGTGTGTGTTTAGGGGTTATTTCATGTTCTCACCTGTTTATTTCACCTGTACCTGTTTCTCTCACCTGTAGCTCATTGGGATCCAGGACGGGTACCTGTGTGTGTTACCTGTACCTGTTCACACCTGTACCTGTTCTCACCTGTTCTCACCTGTCTCTCTCTCACCTGTTTACAGCTGATCGGGATCCAGGACGGGTACCTGTGATGTTTATAGGTTATTTCATGTTCTCACCTGTTTATTTTACCTGTTCACAGCTCATTGGGATCCAGGACGGGTACCTGTGTGTGTTTATGGGTTATTTGAGGGTCTCACCTGTCCATATCTCACCTGTCCATACCTGTTTATTTTACCTGTTTACAGCTGATTGGGATCCAGGACGGGTACCTGTGTGTGTTTATGGGTTATTTCATGTTCTCACCTGTTTATTTTACCTGTTCACAGCTCATTGGGATCCAGGACGGGTACCTGTGTGTGTTAATGGGTTACCTGTTCACACCTGTATCTGTCTCACCTGTCCATACCTGTTTATTTTACCTGTAGCTCATTGGGATCCAGGACGGGTACCTGTGTGTGTTTATGGGTTATTTCATGTTCTCACCTGTTTATTTTACCTGTAGCTGATCGGGATCCAGGACGGGTACCTGTGTGTGTTACCTGTACCTGTACCTGTCTCACCTGTACCTGTACCTGTTTCACTATAGCTGATCGGGATCCAGGACGGGTACCTGTCGCTGCTCCAGGACAGTGGGGAGGTGCGGGAGGACCTGAGGCTGCCCGAGGGGGAGCTGGGCCGGGAGATCGAGCAGAAATACGACTGTGGGGAGGAGATCCTGGTACTGGGACGGACTGGGAGGGACTGGGATGGG